GCAAATAAAAGCATAACACTTTCTTAATATGCCACTGCTTTATATATCACATAATTTAAAACAGGGTTCTTATTATTTTAAGTTGTTGTGTTTGCTTGCACATGCATGGTATGTCTTGGATTTTGAACTTGCTATTATTTTGCTGTGGGTACCAACATTTGAGTATGTCTGAGATGGGTAAGAGGATGAATTAATAAGCAGATGAGCCAAAACGATGAAAAATTTAAATGAATTGACTTACCTAGAGGTCGGAGGAGATGGTGGTGGATAACCTAAATGTATGCACATGAAAAAAAGGCATGTTAAAAAATTGATGTTTCATTTATTTCTTCGTCTTTGTGTGTTAATTTTTGTTAAAAGATTTGTTGCTTAATGATTTTATGTTAAGAAATATGTATTTTGGGTTATTTGTTCGTATCTGTGTTACGACAGAAGCAAATTTTTTCTGGTTACCATGACAGTTTTAACTTTGTTTTAGCTTCTTGATTTTGTCTAAGTGAAAATAGAGCGATGGGTACATGGACACCACGTTTGTGTAAGTCTTTGACTTCTTATTTTGATTTTGTGTAGCAGCCATCTTGAAATTGCCGCCGATCCTTTCTGGCACCAATCTTGGCATCAAAAACGAAATGATTCAAAGAAATGATTCACCAAGGGGTACCATAGACTAAATTTTTATCCTTTATAACTATTGAAAAGGTTTTATATTAGTGGGAAAAACATGTAACTTTATCAGCTTTACTTATATAACTTTACTTATACAGTTTTAATACTACATGCATATTTTATGCATTTCCATTTTAATATCAGAATATCTTTGTATTCTTTTTTAAACAAATTTCCTTCAAAAAATGCATCCAGAAATACTTGAAAATAAATGCTAACATAATAAGTTAAATGTTACTAAATACTATCAATGTTAAAAGAATGTAAATAAACTGCTGGGTCATCCTCAACATTCCACAGGTTTTTATGATAAATACAAATGAAGCAATACATAAACATAAAAAAATTTCATTAAATCACACTAGCTTCATTTTGTTTTATAATCTGAAAAGGTGAAACTAAGGAGGGAAGAGACTGATGGTGAATAAGGGAAGTGCAACACAAAACATACCATTCATACCCAGTAACTTGTGTCTGACATTCACCAAAACAGAGAGCTGAGCACTGTTATGACTGAACTGATCCCAATGACTGGTCAATTTGCTTCAATATCTACTTTTAAAATTGCCATTTGGAAGCAGTACTTTCCAAATTTACTTATTGATGGCAATAATTTCTTTGCAGTCCTGCCATACACAAGGCATTATTTTTATAGGATGTTACTATAGGAGGTTCATTATGATCTTTTTCTTATAGCATTATTGTATAAAAACCATTTCTCATCTCCAGTAACAAGTCATTAAAAAAAAAAAAGAGCTTCACAGTTTAATTTGGAACTACTCTGATATGTGCCCTCAAGTCGCCAAACATTTTTGGTGAGAAACTCCACGCTGCCATATTGCTATCTAAATTTTTTGTCTACATTTCGAACTTTTAAGCCTGAAATGTCTCCAAAAACACGGTTTTTGCGAATGCTAAAACCACGTTTTGAACACACAATTTAAGCTAAAAATCTGAAAAAAAAAAAAAAAAACTTTAGATAGCAAAACCGTTTCTAACCAAAATTATTTGACAAGAGTCCATGTACACAGCGATATGTTTTAACTTAAAAAAAACATCAACGAATTGCACAATTTAGGCAACAAACGAATCTACGAACTACGCACACCTCACTTTAATAAATTAATATAACAACAATAAATTTCAAAGAATGCCATATATACAGCGTTCTGTTTCAACTTTAAAAACATCTGCGAATTGCACAATTTAGACGGTACGCACTAATCAACAAAATGACTAAAATAAATTTCAAACAGTTCAAAAAAAAAAAACAATAACGACAGAAATTCATACTAAAAAAAAATTAACATAACATTCTACAAAATAAGAACAAGAATAAAATAAAATGCACTTACCATGAATTAATGCTTTTTTGAACAGCAGAAATACCAATTTCATACCGCCTTTAACATGCCGCCACGTAATCACTGTCGTATTTATTATATGACAGCCAGACACACTATCCAGAAAATTCATACTATGGTTCACAAATAAATAAAATAACAAATAATCATAAATCCCTACTTCTATCATGCATAGCCACTAAAAATAATCTCCCAGACCTTCTTTCGTCACCTCCAAATACCCACTGCCCCTTCAACAGGATGGCCACGACGATATTTCCTTTTGCCGAACTTCAATTCAACAACTTCCACCATTTTGGCTTCTCAGACACAGAGCATGACGCGAGGCAAACGAACACCAGCGAAAGATTTTTCAACGTCAACAGGGTTGCCATACAACACGCAATCGCACCAAAAACCAGCGCAGAGCACATATTACCACATTTGGTGAAATTTGGGCATATATCAGAGTTGTACCTTTAATTTAAGCAAAGAATCATGTGTCAAAATTCAAGCAAGTATATTTTGCTCTGTAGCAAACATATTCATATCCAGATTTCTTCAAATGATAATGTACTGTACTTTTTGGAATACTTAGTCTGATAATCACTAAACTGAATATTTGAAGCCCAAATTTCGGAAGCACTTCCGCAGAGAACCCGATAAATGTAAACATCGTCAACTTTGGCGATAATAGTTCAAACCTGGTAACCTATTTGCTTCATTATATTCATCCTATTTGCTTGTGCGAAGGTTGTCGTTGTTCGCAGTTGGAGATTTATATTATTCTTCTCTTATTTTTTCTGAATTTTTTAACAACGAATAGATAGAAATATATTCGCATAATTAAAGAAGTTATCGTCGAAAGATGGCGGGTCTCGGCTCGTTATTTCAGGATCAAAGGAAGAAAATATGGCGGGAGGGGTGAATGCTAATTTGTAACATAGCTGTTCGCGTTATGTTCTTAATTATTAACAGCTGTAAGCACGCAGAACCATGAGGTTTCCAACCCCTATAATAATTTTAAAATGTATAAAGTTCTAGTTTTATTAACAATGTTACTGAAGAAAATTTGATTACTGTTGAAGGTTATTTGTATTGTGAAATATATTATGAAAAAGGACAGGTATTTGTTTCAACGTAAAATGCTTTAAGCTGCACGCAAGTAATAACTGAAAACTATGCAAAAACTGGAAACTGAAAAAAAAAAAAAAAAAAAAAAAACTGAAAACTATGTAAATGGATGTATTAAAGGTCATGCATTCATTAATTTATTACATGGGCATGGCTCTTACCGAAATACATCAATCAACAGGCAAAGTACTTAATAATGAAAAAAGACACTTGTAATAGAAATATTAGTATTCCATATGAATTAGAGAAAATACATATAAGTATAACGTAAACGTAAGTATAAAAGAATACAATTCAATGTTATTTTTTTTTAAATGAATTTTTACTTCCCGTTATGTTTAATACATTGTTTTCTGTGCTAACTTGAAATTAATGCAAATTTATTTTCGTATATCACGTTTAACCTGTTAGTTTTATTTCTACATACATTATCTGTGAATTTTTACTACTATTGTCTGCTAACTTGAAATTACATACACTAAAAACCACGTTTACAAAATATCACGCTTACTGCCGATGAGCCGCGAGTTTGGCGAGTAAAAATGCAACGGTGCCAACGAGTTCTTTCCCGAAGCGCCAACGGGCTCTCTGCGTATGAAAACCCCAAATTTCTGCACTTAAACTTTTCAAACTACATTCAAACTGTGCCATCAGAAACATTGTTCATACAAGGCACATATTTTAAGAGCAGTTTCACTAGCATGTTTTTCCATTTTAAAAATAAAAGCATAATACAAGGAAAATAACTTCTGGGTTCTCCATACTTAGTACTGCACCAGAAAAAACATTATACCACAACATATACTAGAGCTACGCAGTGTGAGCAGAAAAGACCATATTTACATATCTGTTTAAATCAAGCTCAGTCATTATCAGCAGTAATAAAATAATTAGAAGAGAATGCATTTTAATCTGAAAAACAGCTGCACTCTTCAGATGACACAATGCATACATATGAAAAGTTCAAAATCAGAATGTTGTTTACTAAAGGGAAAATATAAGAGTGTAATGAAAAATGTTTCCACATCATGAAAAGCCCTATTAAAATTATACCAATAAATTTAAGTTAATATATAGCCATTTTTTTTAAATGAATGGTACATTGATTATAAATAAAATCTTAGGTTTAAAGCAAGCATTCAGCAAATTCATAATCTATGATCATTAGAAAAAATATAGTTTTTATAACTAGATCAACCAACTTCATCTACAGTAAAAAGTTTAATTTTTTTTAATTCTCAATTCATTGCCGAAAACATAATTGTTACTTTGATAAAGATATAAAAGTCCAGAACTATATTATTTGAAATGTTATTCATAACTTGTGTAAAATACACTATAACATGATGAAATATTAAATATTTACCGAACAGAAATAATAAATATATTACGTGTTATGCAGATCTCTTACGATACATCACTTATGCACACACGACACTTATACTGAGACATATTATTAAACACAGAAGCACAAACTCTATTTACAACACTATGTACTGCAATTATTTATCAATATCTGCAGTCTTTCGATATATTAGAAAAATATAAATTAGTTTATGGAAAAAACTCGTTTGACGTGCATGTTATAAATGAAGCTGCGTTAATGACAATTAAAACAGTTAACACAGAAAGATCAAAACCTCAGAAAAGGCGCCTTTACGTATTCCTATAAAGACGCAATACATAGCGCTTAATATCTCCTAAATACAGAATTTCAAGATCTAAGGTGTACTACAAGTAAAAAAATAAAATTAGGATCTTTCATCAATCAAATTATTTACAAAAGGAGGCAGTATTCATTTCAAAACAAAAATATAAAATTTATTATAAATACGAAATCGTTTACTATATACTCACGAGTTTTTAGCCTAGGTCGAGGGGTATGTTGTGGACTCGTGAAATCAGAGGTTAAATCTCTGGGCAACTTATCTCCTCTCTTTGCTTCGTTTTCTGCTCTTAATCGAGCTTCTAAATTCATTAGTTTGTTGTGAAAAGATGCCATAGTCGCCATGTCAGATTTATCGTTACTCGACTTACTTATGGTGAGTTGAGTAGTGAAATAAATCAAGTCAGATTTTGACTTCTACTTTCATAGACCCAGAACTCTTACTAGAAAACAAAACAATGTTTTCAATAAGTAAAATAAAAAAGTGTTTTGTCTTCATAAAATAATATTAATTCCAGAATTTATTATCCAAATATTCTGAAATTTTATATGTTATGAGGAAAATGTCCCTTCGTGTAGAAATACCATCCCTATAATTTTAAACTAAATTTTCTTGTTATAATTATCAAGATTCAAAACAATCCAATTAACAGAGATATTAAAGCTCTTGTCATTCTTTAAAATTTTTTAGACACCTGATTTCTTTTTTATTAGATCATGTAACCAACATAAATAGCATTGCGTTTCCTCTTGTCGTGTAGTTAAATAGTGAAAAATCTATTATAGCAAAGGCTCTTAGTAACTTTTATTAAAGTATGTTAATAAAAATAATAATAATAATATAATATATAGTTTAGATAAGTTCTGGCAACAGTGAGTGTTGTCGTCATCAGGAGATCGTGCTTCGCGATATTGTCGTTCAAAATAAAAGCTATAGTTTGTAATTCCAATTAACACTTTGCTTACAGTTGATCGCTTTTTCATAAGATTCGGGCTCTTTTAGAATCAATAATAAAAGCTTCACTTATCATTATATAATCTTCAAAACGCTTTGGCTTTCTCAAGTCAGCTCTATCTCTTAGGTATCTTGACTGTGCATTATTTTGCAAATTAATATCTTCACATTCTTGTCTTTCAAAATGTTCTTCTGATATATTTCCAGATATTTCTTTGTTGTATTCTTTTTCTGAATTATCTTCTTCACAAAGAAACTTTTCTGACTTATCTTTTTCTGAATTTTGTTGATGTTCAGAGCCAGAAATTAGGCTATCTTGATCTTGAATAGGTAACTGCACCCTTTCTTCACAATTTGTGAGCTTTTCGTTAAATATAATATCACGTGAACAGATCACACTATTGGTTTCTTTGATCCATAGTCGGTATCTTTCGTCTCCATCATAACCAATTAAATAAGCTTTTGTAGCCTTATTATCCATTTTTCCTTCTTCTTTGTTTAGGAATATGGGCATAACACACAGATCCTACTATACGAAGATGCTTAATTCGAGGTTTCTTTTTAAACCATAGCTCATAAGGACTCATGCCTTCTACTGATGATTTGCCAGTTCTGTTTAGTACATATATGGCAGTGTTGACTAGTTCAGCCCACATTGCTGCAGGAAAATGAGCTTCAGAATTTGAGTACTTAAATGTTCTTGCCATTTCGATTATTGTACGTATGTCTCTTTCACTAGAGCCATTTTGTTCAGGAGAATAAGGTGCTGTTAGTCTTTGAGTTATACCTTCAGAATGCAAAATAGCACGCACTTTGTCATTGTCAAACTCGCCTCCATTATCGCTGAGAAATTCTTTGACTGAATGTCCTAAAATTTTAGCGTGTGCAAGCATGTGTTGTAACATATTTACAACAGCAGATTTTTCCTTGATAAAATACCCATAACGAAACTTTGTGTAGCTATCTTTAAACACAACTAAGTATCTTTTCTTCTGGAAAGATTCATCAAAAGGTCCACAGACATCATCAGCTGAAATTAATTCACCAGGCTTGCTGGCTGGCTTTCTTATGCCAAATGGTAAACGGTGTGCTTTGCCAAAAATGCATGGTTCACACAATTTTCTTTCAAATGGGATTTTAATTCCTAATTCTTTCTCAAGCATGTTCTTAATGTGACGTTTATCTTGATGTCCCCATCTCTGATGATATAACTCTAACAAGGAATTGTCTGCTTCAGCAGCATGAACTTCTATAATTTTATCAGGCATATACTTCTATAATTTTATCAGGCATAATAGGTTCGATAGCTGCCTTGTATAAAGTACCATATACTTTGCGAGTTCCAAAAAGCACTACTTGACCATTAACCTTTAACCAGCATTCTGTAACTGTTGAAATAAATTTACTATTCGGATTTCTATCTTGAGCAGCAAGTAAAGAAAATAAATTTCTGTTTATCTCAGGGACATACCAAACATCTTTAAGGTAAATTCTTTGGATTTTACTACCAATAGTTGTTTTGACACATACTGTACCTTTACCAAGAGCAACTAAAGTTTCTTTTCCAGCAGCCTTGATGCTACAGGGACTATCAAACTTCATAAAGTCAATAAAGTATGTGAAACAATTCATGATATGTCTTGTAGCTCCACTATCAATCCAAAAAGATGTTGATCAGTCTTAGCCTCTTCGTCAATGGACATCAGTATTACACTGCCTGTATTTCCTTCATTGGTTTTCGTTAACCTATTCTTGGGTGGTCTTCCATCAGCAATCCACTGTTTACAATCTTTTACCCAGTGTCCTTTCTTTTTGCAATAATTGCAAATATCTTCTTTTCTTGGTTTTCTTCTGAATTTGTCTTTTTTTATATTGCTTTTGTTTTTCAGATTTTGACATTACTAATGCCACTTGTTCATTTGTATTGCCTTTCTCATGACTTTTAAATTCTCTTTCATGAGAGCAAAGCTGTGCTGTTAACTCATCAACTGTTCTTTTGTCTTCACCCAAGAGTAACCAACTTGACTTAAACAAATGGTATTGTCCTGGGGCTAATCGCAATGGTGCATGTCGATGTGGTTACTTCTCTTATTTCCGTTTTTAGACGTAATATTTCACTCTTTCCAAGTTATAAGTATTAATTTTAAGAAAACTTATTATATTTAACTGAGTTGAAATGAAAATGATTGCGAGAATAAATTATAAATCTACTTTTTGTGTGTTTTGTGGTATTGTTTAGCATTAACGCAACGAATTATCTCTCACAAATGTATTATTTAAGATACCAAACGATTGAAAATGATCATTAGCAAAACGATTGAAAATATTGAATGCATGAATTAAAAATTATAACCGTAACTTCTGAAAATACAGAAAAAGAATTCTTTGATTATTCATGAGTGTTGTCTAATTCGGTACTTACTGCAGAATGGATGAGTATCTGAATCTGGATTTCTTTTATCATTTTGAGCGAAGAGATAAAAAAATGCGTTATTGAGTGGTGTATGGAGAAACGTTTGATTGCAATATTCGTACAAGTGCCCAATTTGTGGAACAAATATGAAACTGGTAAAGCGAAAAAAACCGTATGGACGGTTTTAGAGTGGATGTGTAGAGTTACTGGAGGCGAATGTAGGCATCAAATTTCAAGGTCTGTTCGAAAGAACTCCTGTTTGGCGAAGAGTAAATTGAGCATGTGTGATGTTTTGGCGAGTTACCTATGTGGTTGGTAAGTGCGGGAATGATTTTTATACGAACGGAATTACGTATTGCTAAAAATACGGTGACAGATTGGAAAAGTTTTTGTAGAGAAGTATGCATGGAGTTATGTTTGAAGGAGAATGTGGTAAGTTGGGTGGGGAAGGCGTGATTGTCGAAATCGACGAAAAGCAAGTTTGGCAAGCTAAAGTATCATAGAGGGAAAAAGAGTCGAAGGAAAGATGGGTTTTTGGTTTCGTTGAGAGAGGGAACAGATAAATGCGTCTTTAGAGTTGTTGAAAACAAAGGTGCCGAAACATTGCTAGAAATCATTAAAGAGAATGTTCTACCAGGATCGATTATTATATCCGATTGTTGGAAAGCGTACGACTGTCTCGAGTTCGAATGGTATGCGCACTTGAAAGTCAATCATAGCTTGAGTTTTAAAGATCCAGAAACAGGTGCGCATACCACCAGTATTGAAGGAACTTGGGCGGCAATGAAAAGAAGTTTTCGTGGCTCTAGTAAGGCAAAAGGACAGTTTGATTCCTATCTTCCGGAATATATTTTGAGAAGGAAACACAAGAAATCCGACTGATGCGTAAATATCTCAGTGAGATCACAGCCACATATTCTGCAAAAGGAGAAGACTGAAGGTAAGTTTGATTTATTATTATTGAATTAAGTAAAATAGTGGGTGCTTTTCTTAATATGGCAGTTTGGATGTTTGGTAGTTGCTTTATTCTGGAAGCTTTATTTTTGTTGTGTATCATTTTTCTGGACACATTTTTTGCAACTCGAATCAATGGAGGTTGGTTTCCGCGCGAGTTTTCTGCAATTCTCTGATTTCTTTAAGTGAAAGAATTTCTGAGTATATGGGCAATGGAGAATTTATTTAATGTCTGATTTTTTAAGTAAAAGAGATCGATTTCACATGGGCAAAGCAATGGGTGCGCAAATCCGAGGTTGTGCGCGATGCCGAGTTTGTGCAATTCTGGGATTTTTTTTAGTGAAAATAGATCGATGTGCACATAGCATGAGTTGTGCAATTCAGAGCACATGGGCAGAGCACTACAGACCAGGCTTCCGGCCTCAGGTATAACCAATCGGAATAGTGCCTGACCTGTAGAAATTATCTAGTATCTACTTCCGCCACTGCGAGGGCGAGCCCCGCAAACCAGCGGCATTTATTGAGTCTAAGTCAGAAGTTACCGATTCACAGTAATGGTTGTTACAATGGCACCTTTGCAGACGTTGTCTGCTACATGAAAAGATGTAAGTGCTGTACTGAGCTGAGTATTATTCATACGCGCGTGTAATTACAATTGCTCTGATTGTGTAATGTTCCATCGGCAGTAATGGGATTTAAGAGCACTGCATGGAATTTAGTACATTGAGTTAGTAAGGTGTCCGGACTTCACTACAAATCGTTATTGGTGAACTTGGCTTAATCTATGCTGCGTATCTGTCCGTGTCACATACTAAAGACATACTGTACATACATACATAGCATGATGATATACATAGCATGAAGATTACATACATAGCATGAAGATTATACATAGCACTAAAAATTACACATAGCATTAAAAAAATATACATAGCATCAAACATTATTACTGTTTTGCTCAATGAACAAATTATATAACTTACTATCCGCACAAATATTGTACTCATTAGTAGCTGTGCACACAGAATATTATAAACATTAAATAGGTCCTA